TGACCAAGTAGATAAAGTTCTCCTGAGGCTATCTACCTGAAAGTAAGAAAAAAAAATCGTAGAAAGAGAAAAAGCGAGAAAAAAAAGGTGCACACACACACGCATAGACACATACACAACAATAACAACTTGTGTGCACAACACACAAACGGTGTGCACTCGAGATTGGCTATCCCTTCAACATAACGAGTGGCTCTTCGTACGTTGACGAGTACGTAACAATCGTCATCTCATTTTTTTCCTTCTTCTTCTTTTTCTCCTCCTTTTTTTTCAAGTGCCCATTTGAGTAGCGATCCTTGAAAACCAGCCTGCTGGAGTGGTCCCTCATGTGCGGCATCCTCTAATCTAGAGAGAAGGAGAAAAGATAGACGAGAAAGAACAAAAAAAGAAAAAAAAAGGAAAAAACGGACAAATGCATTTTTCATTTTTTTTTATCAACAATGATGAGCATACACATCTTTACAACTATGTTGATCAATGGTATAGAATTTTTACAAGAACAAAGTTTTCTAATTTTGTTTTTTTCATATTTATTTTTTATTTAAATTGTTCTTTGTTTTATTTTTATCTTTTAAGGAATCAAACATGATGAACGGTATAAAACACGATTTAGTTGGTACAGCATCAGCAGCAGCTGCTGCAGCCGCTGCTTATCAAAATCCATTACTCTATGCTCCAACACCATCATGGATGGCTACAGAAAATTTTCCGGGTAAAAACAAAAAAACGAAAGATCAATCGAAAATAATTGACCAACAATTATATATTTTCTTGAGGTTTATTAAATTTTTTTTGTTCTCTCTTTCTTCGGTCCGGATATTGCTTGATCTTACCGGCGGATGTCAATCGTTTAAAATAGAAAACATTAAATTTTCTATTTAATTTATTCATAAACATGTTAGTTATTTTTGTAATTTTTTGGATTTTTTTTTTCTTTAGAAATGAACAGTTTTGGTCTTTATCATCCACATTCTTATCCAACAAGTTATGATAGACATCATCATCATCATCATCATTCAGCATCTACATATTCATCATTAGCTGCAGCAGCAGCTTATCGTAGTTCAATGTCACCATTAAATAATGAATTTAAAAGTGAAAAACTTGAACCATATATACCGAATTCTACACCATTACATCATAGTCCTGTTCATTGTGTACCATCAACATCATCTATAATACCAATAAAACCTCAATTAAATGCAATGAATGAAGAAAAACATAATTCTTCCATATCAGCATCATCATCATCATCAAAAACATTAGATAATGATGAACAACAAACATTAGTACGTACATCCCCAACACACATGATAACAAATAATAATAATAATAATAATAATAATAATAAAAAGACGAAATCAAATAATTCAAATGATATATCAAATGTCGGAAAAAAACGTAAACGTAGAATTCTATTTAGTAAACAACAAATAGCAACACTTGAACAACGTTTTAATGCTCAACATTATTTATCAGCACCTGAAAGAGAATTATTAGCTAAACATATTGGTTTAACAGCTAATCAATGTAAAATATGGTTTCAAAATCAGTATATATTTTCTACATCATTATAATTCTTAATAAAAAAGAAAATTCTATTGTTTCTCCTTCTAGTCGATATAAACTTAAACGTGCTAAACAAGAAAATTCTTCTAAAACAGCTTCCTCTTATACAGATCTTTGTTTTGATCCAAATAATTCTTCACCACCACCTCCAACACAACAACCAATTCGACGTGTACCTGTACCATTACTTGTACAAGATGGTAAATCCCTTTATGGTCCACCAGCAACATCATCATCTCCAACATCTTCACCATATGGTACAGCACTTAATGATGCAACTCTAACAGGTTCTATGTCAGCAACAAATTCATCATCAACATTTGATCCATTAGCATATAATGTTTATATGTCATCAATTGGTTATCATCATCATCAATATCCAACATCAAATACACAATTTCATAATTCATATGAAAATTGTTTAAGACAACAACAAACAGCTCCAAATTCAGCTTGGCCAACAAGTGTATGGCCATAAAAAGAAGAGGATTTCGTTTTTTTTTTCTTTTCTTTTGTACAGTTTTTTTCTTTTTTTTTTTTTTTTTTGTTTTCTTACAATATTCAGAAATATATTAATTAAAAAATCAACTGTCAATCATATGATTATTTTCTATTGTTTAAAATAGTCAAGTGGAGAAGACATTTGCATACGATGGCACCTATATATATATATATTATATATGACACACTCTCGTCAGCGTAAAATTGTGTTATGTTTTTTTTAAAAATTCCACTATATGTGCATCTCTAATTAATCATTTTGTTTTAATTTTAGTTGTTTTCAAGTAGGTTAGAGAGACATAGATAAGAATTTGTTCTCATTGGTTCAAATCAATATTTACATTGATAAGAGAAAATGATAAATTCTTTTTCTTTTCTTTTTGTTTCGGTTTAAATGATTGAAATTTTAAGATAGATCGAAAATGAATTGGTTCCCGTTCTTTTCTTTTTTTATTTATGTATTTCTTTTTCTTGTCTGGAAAAAGATTAGTTCAAACGAAATAATGATTTTCTAGTCCGATGAATACGCTCCTCCTTTCGCACGGTCGATCATCAATTGATTTGATTAGATTTCTGTTTTTTTTTCTCTTTTTATAACCGATAAATCACAAACATTATGCTTCAATGATTTGTCATGATCATCAGCTTGAAAACAAATATATTTAAATTAAATATCTCATTACTTTTTCTAATAAAAAAAAAAGTAAATTCTATTTTTTTTTCTTGTTTAAAAATTTAATTGAATCATTTTCTTTAGACAATAAACGAACGTTTTTTTTTATTATATGAATTCATTGTTTTATCTTTACATACGCGAACTGATATATATATATATAAAAGAAAAGAATAGGTAAATATTGATATTCATAAAAAGTGAGGCGAATGATCAGAGCACGTTTATCAATCGTTTATATATTTATATATATTCTCTCAAGATGAACGTTAGTTTTTATAGTTATCAAAAATATTCATTCTTAGACTAGACATCTATGATTTTAATTAAAAAACAGAAAAAAAAGTATGATTTGTTACACGAGATGATAGATTACGATGTTGTAAATGAACCATAAACATGACTGTTTTTGATCTTCGATAGTAATGATTACGGCGTTTATTTACAACTATTTCCCAAGCAAATATGGCAACATATTAGCTAAAGTGAATAGAGATTTTCTTGTTCAAAATGAAATTCATTAGAATGATCTGAGAAATTCAATGTGAGAACTGCTGGCTATTTAGATACATCAATAGATAACATATGAGATTCATTTCATAGTATATAGTCGAATCAAAATGATTATGCAGAAAGTGGAAAACTTTTATTGACGAAATGTTTCTTATATAGTCTATCAACTAAATATATTAAAATGATTGAAAAAATAAATTTTTGTCGAACATCATACTGGCTGATGACAATGAAAATACTTTACGATTAATGAATATGATCGATCAATAAGTGACAGATGATTTATCTCAAGTGTTTATTTCTATGTAGAAATAATGTTCTTTTCAAATGTTACTTTTTTATGGAAATGAATGTTCAATATGTGTAAAAATATCGTATGCCATTTCTTCTGCCTAACTTGTTATAATACGAGAGATACAATTGGTTTACGACTAGAGATCTGGATTAGAGCTGATTTTCAAGTCGCTTTGGAGTAAACATCAATAAAACAAGTTTAACATTAGAAATATTTCAAATTGTATATTTTAGTATTTGATATTCATTGCACAAAGTTATACAGTTTAGTAGTCCGATTGACATTTCCTTTAGACTTTACGAATGTTGGAAAAAAGTCCAAGTTCAAATTAAGGGACATCGGCCGCATTTCAATAACATCAGTTTTTTTTTGCAATTATTATCAAAGAATGAAACTTACAATTCAAAAGAGTTTTTGTGTTATGCATGATTGATTAATTAGAAAAAATTGACGAGAAAACTCTTCAAATTGATAACTTCTGTTTGAACTCATATTATGCTGATTGTTAGTGTCTATTGTCTAGATAAAAGTTTTAAAAGTTAGTAGTCTACAACCCGGTCAGGTATCTGACCCCACAAGTAATAAGACCTTAGCGTTTCAAAATATTTTTACTTTTCAAACTTCTATTTACATAGAAGCATAGAAGTGAAAACCTTAGTAATTCATTGTACTTGAGAGCAGGTCACAGCATTGAATACATGTAGAGAGAAAAATAAATTATCAAAAATGTGAACATGTACATCATCAGCAACAAGTAAACTTATACTTGGCGAAATTGATCGGAACTAAATAGTATCCTTTTTCATAAGAAATAAAAGTTTGAAAAGCTTGTAGAATTATCAGTCGGATGTCGATTAGCTCCAATCAGGTACAGAAAGAAATACAAGTTCAGATTCGATTTCGAAAAGTCATACTCATGCAGGACACTGCTAAAAGGATGTGTGCTATTTTAGCGTTTTACTTTTGAGTTATGATCATTTTCAGTCTATTGTAGGCTATTATGAGGAAAACTGAATCAAAGAATTTTAGTCTAAAATTTTACTCAAAAATTGATCACATGATCTTTAGAATATTCTGAAAGTTTCGGCGAAAATGGATGCTTCTATCTCAAGATAAGTGACTTACAAAATCATCTATTCTTGCTGACACTTTCAGGATCTTATAAAAATCATGAGATCTATTTTCGAATCAAATTTCAGACTAAAATTCATTGATTCAGTTTTTCTCGTGATATCCTGAAATCGATTGAAAATGATTATAACTCAAGAAGAAAATATTAATGACATATATTCTTTTAAAACTTTAATTTAAAAAATGAACTCGAATGGAAGTTACTTTCTTTGTTAGTTTACTGTGATATACAACTATGAAATTGATTTCGATGCAAATCTTTAGTTATATGATAATATAAGAAAAAATTTTATTTTGAAATATCGAATAGATATTATTTTATTCATATTTAATATTTTCTAAATCATCTTCATTTTTCTTATTTATTTTTTCCGATGGATTCATATTTAATTTTTTCAATAAAATATTTTCTAATTCTTGTTTTAATAATTTATTTGTTGTTCTTAATTGTTGTAATTCAAATGGTATGATAATATTAATTGATTGATATCGATGTTCATTTGATGATTTAAATCTTGAATATAATTTTAAAATATTTTCAAAATGATCTTCAGCATTAATTAATTGTTTTTTTATTTGTTCAATATCATATTCTAAATGATCAATTTGATTATTTAATTTTATTTTTATTTCTTCATTAAGTAGAAGTGTTCTCATAGCATATGCATTTGCACTTAAATAATTATTTAAATAATCATTCATCATTTGACGATATGTATTACGAATACGAGATAATAAAATACCACGTTCACTACATTCAATTGTTATTTGTCGTACAAGTTCATCAAAACATTCATTATAGATTTTACGACGATGATTACATAAACCAACTTCAAGAGCTTGAGAAAGTTTTAAACGATGATCAAGATTTTTTTCTAAATTATAAACATCAATTTTTGTTGCTGGATGACGTGATACACATATGATCTATATTTCAAAAAGAAAAGGTTAAATTTTAATTGTTTATGTTTTTTGAAAAAAAAACAATTTAACATACATATTTATGATTATTTTTATCAATATGTTCAATAGGTGGAAAAAGAAAATCAAGTATATCTGCAGGTCGACATAAATCTGAATATGGATCAAAAAGTTTTAAATTAGTATCATAGAGTGATGTTGGTTGAAAACAAGGAGAAATAGTCGCTCGACAAATTTTTTTAACATCTGTTTCTGAAATATCATGACTAACAATTAAACGCGGAGATTCATATTTGAGTAGAGAATCTTTTTGATACATGATATCATTGGATTTATATTGGTGTTGACGATGACTACAATTCATGAGAATATCTATATATATTCGCGCCATATTATATAATTACTTTTATTTGAGAAATCTGATAAAAAGAAGAATTATTACACAAGGTGATTGGAAAGTTAGTTTACCGGGAAGAAAAATTAGAGCAGCTATTTCGCAGTCCATATTTTCAATGAAAAATATTATTCAGCAGTATTACTGTTGACATAGGTATCAAGCGACGGTCTATGACATATTATGAAAACAAATAGGATTTTCTAAATGATTTACATAATGATTTTGTTTATTTATAGGTTAAACTTTCAGCTTATACTCATTAATAAAACATAAACTTGCAGTAGAAATTTAGAATTAAACAACAATGATCTGGGATAGATCTGTGACAGTTCGCGATCGAAGAAATGAACGGAAATCATTCGTTCAGTTCTTTTCAAAAGAGCTGAACTATTTAAATGAATCAGTTTTAGACATGTGACTGTTACATAATGAACGATTGAGGATTGTTTCTCAATCGTTAGAAGGTAGTGGAAATTCAATATTGAAACAGAATTTTCTTCTTGATCATTCCTATATGGTTAGATAGAGCACATCATTTTATTCAAAAAAAAAATGAAAATACTAAAGTAATCCTACCTATTATATAGGAAAACCGTCTAATCTTAAGAGATAACAACCAAATTTTTTCCTCTACATACGAAGAATCATTTGCTCATGTTGTTACTGTAACTTGTAAACATATTTTATTTTTTCTAAGCAAGAAGAAAAATTAAATAAAATATGCCATTCGAACTAGCATTAAAGAACCCACAAATATATGAATAGACTTTTTCAAAAGATTTTATCTGGTTGTAAAAACATCAAAGATTTACAGCAAAAAGACGGGAAAATGCCAATTTTGGTCGTGGAATGTTTAATTTGGAGTTGAGAAACTTTCTTCCCAACAAAAACAAACATCGTATTCGTAATCAGTGCAAAATATCAAGTTAGACAACATGCTTTTTAATACACACTCACACAAAAAAAAAAGATATTCAGGTTTTGGATAAAGTAAAACGATTGAATTAATTAATTGCAAAGATTACTATAAATCCTAGCAACAAATATATTAATATAAGAATAGAAAATGATTGCATTACATAATTGAATACAAGTATGAAAATTTATTTTTGAATATTGGCAGGCAATGATGGTTATAAGAATGACAGCCATGAAGTTATGTATTGTATCACTTTTCTCCACAAATAGATTACAAGTAGATAAAAATCTGAAAACAAAAAATCAAAATTCAAGGTACTAAAAGATTACGAACAGAGTTTCTACATGATACTATTGAACGAAATCAGTCCATCAACGTACTCGATTATAATAATTACCTAACATAGCTGACTTTCATAAATACTTTCGAATACTCAGTTATTGTTATATTTACATAAACAATATAGTAACAATAGGATGGAATATGAAAATAAACAGCATTTAAAAAGTTCACGAAGTTAGGTTTATTGAATTAGTATAGTCAATGACGTTATTCGATCTCTGCCCATCAAATCATCTGTGGCTTTTTCTTTTGTATACATTATTCAATAATTAGCCTGATGTCTCAATTTTTGAAAAGTATGGCAAATTTGTTCTATCATTACGCCATCATTCGTTTATTCTTGAAACAATTTTTTTTTATTTGTAATAAAATATTGCAAATTCAAAACAAGAAAAAAAAAGAAATCGACAATATATCGAAGTTCTGGATGTTCGAAAGTCAAACATGTCGAGTCTTAATAAATGATATGTAAGAAAAATCTTCTTTTTTAATTTTTGTTTCAAAATGCTTCATTAGATGTTTAACAGCAACAACCTATTATTTAAAAAATGAAAAACTATTACCAACATTTTATAAACATCTTGATTGTTGACTTCAATCAAAAGTTAAAGTTGACTGCTTATAGAAAATCGATCTTAGAAAAAAAGGGGAATCTCATTTGACTGAAGTGAAGTACTTGAAAAATTCACTATCATTCTACGACAAAGTATATTATTCAATTTTTAGTCACATTGTTGTCATTCATTTATATGATAATAGTCAGTATTTCAATTGAAAACTCAAAAACAGACTACTATAAAAGTTTGTGCTATATTCAAAATAGAATTCGATAAGGTCAGAATGAATAGATTGATTTCGCATATGTTTTCATCGTGAAAGTAGAAAAAAAAAATTTGTTATACTTACATGGACAATGTGAATGTTGCGGTGTTAATTGTTGGTCATCAGCTGTTGGAACTAATGGTCGTGAATGGGATGTTGAGGATTTATGTTCACTTATCAATGGTTTCATTTTAAAAGTGGTTCGTGAGTTTTCAAGTAGTTCGATCAGTTTGTTTCTATACTCACAAATGTTATAGAATTGAAGTAAGATTGCATCATTTGCTCGATTCCAATCATCACATTTCAGTGCTCCAGAAAAATAAATTCCTTTGTTCAAACGACGTGTAATTGACTGAAAGTATGTATCACGTTCAATTTCAGCACGTATAAGCTCACGTTGTTGTTCATTCTTTGATTCACATCGAGTAATAACCATGCATAAATGTTGAGCAAGTTCTAAACCAAAATAGTCGAGAAACTTTTCAATTGCTTGTAAATCTTGGTTATTGATACCAGCCTCCAATGATGCACAAAAACATATAAGATGAAATTCAGTAACACCTTGGCGAATACACATGTTCTTAATATTATCGATTTCGTTGTCAACCAACTGCATATCATGTGTGTACGAACGACGATCAAACAGACCCGGTGTATCGACTGCAGTCAATGTCATGTTTGAATCTATGGTAAACGTGTCGAATTCTGTTTCTTTCGTTTGCGAGAACAAGCTCACTTCAGCAGGAATTATCCGTGGATCTTTGAACATCTGTTTTAATGTGCTCTTGCCTGCTCGTGTTCGTCCGATTAATAAGACATTCTTTTGTGTGATAGTTCGTCGTATTTGTGCTAATGAATTGTAATGATCATTTATGGCGCTTTGTATCTCTTGTTGTTTCTCAACAACATTTATTGTTGTATGCGAAGGAAACATAATATCTAGAATAGAAGAAGTAGCTTTTATAGAAGGAATTCTTGATTAATTAAATATATAGTTGAAAACATAGAAGAAAATAAAAATTAGAAAATATCTATTGAACGAAACAAGGTTTCTGAGAGAGCTTCGCTTTGTATCGTCCAATGAGTGCTTCATCTTGTTCTCCTTTCGCTTGAAGCTCTTCTATTTGCTTCTTTAATTTTTCTTGCTCTTCAATAAGTTGACGTAAACGACTGACAGACGATTCTTGTACCATAAACGGTTCTATATTCTTCGTAAGCACCTCAATGAGTCGTTCCCGATAACCTACGATCGTTTCAAATTGTGTGTACAGATCATCGGTAGCGTTCATCCATGAATCTCGATGAAGACAGCCCGAAAAAAAATGCCTTGTTTAAAATAGCCAGCAAGTGGTTTAAAATGCATGTCTGTCTCTATTTCTTTCATCAGCTTTTGTCTTTGATCTTGACTTTTTGATTCGCACCGGGTGACGATTAAACAGGAATTTTTTGAAACACCTTGTCCGAGGAAATCAATCAGTTCACGAATTGCTTTAACATCTTGATCGTTGATGCCTGACTCGAACGAGGCACAAAAACCTACAAGATGGAATTTTGTAATTTCTCGTTCGATGCATTGCTCGATAGTCCTTAAAATTGCTTGATTGTCTCGTACTTGATTTTCATCAGTACCTCTTTCGAACAGACCGGGTGTATCAATAATGTTTATGACGACCTGATTGTCGTCAATAATAAATGATTCAAAAGTAGCATTTTTAGTTTGAGATGCTAATGTGAGCTCTTCAGATATGGTCGTTGGATCTACGAGAAGTTGCTTGAGTGTTGATTTTCCTGTTCGGGTTCGTCCAATGAGCAGTACGTTCTTATGTTGCACACGTTGAACCTTGTGTTTAACTTTTTCTCTGTATGCAGCACCAATGTTATCCATGATTTCCTTTCGTCGTGTATTGGCATCAAGATTTTTTAAATGTGAAAACATTCTGTAAAGTCTTGAACAAAAAGAAAATGTTTAAAATGAATCATGAATATTAATTTTAACTTACTTTTCGTTCAATTACAATTGTGAGGTTAATTGTCGGAAAAGGGAATAGGAAATTTTACACAGAGTATTTATTTGATACTGAAGTGCTACTGATAGCCCAATGATACTTCTTAATAAATTGAGGCACGAAGCTTGCTTTATATATAGAGTATCAACGGCACATTATTTGACTTATAGAGAAAAAAATAGAACGAACAGCAAAATAGTGTTTTTTTATAGTGTGAGTCAGCTGTATATGGTATTCTCCTTTTTTTTCTTTTCTGCTGTTGTAAATAAATAGCATATCTGGTATACATTATTAATATTTATTTGCGAAATTAAGCCCATTGATCTTAATGGTCCTAAAGGGATAGCTGCTTAAAAAAACAAATGTGTCTGTTAATGCATATCTGATGTACATGTATAGCTGCGTGTCTTCTTAATTGCGGACAAAAATCAAAACAATTAGAAGACCGACAGTGTGGGTGAGGGCTGAAATTTTGTCCGCAATCAAGCTGTAGCCGTATAGCTGTTCTTCTTTCTTTTCCTCTTCTTCTATTTTTTTGCGATAGTACTGGTTTTTTCCACCTGATCATGGTTTTTTCCAAGTGTCTTAAGTTGGTTTTTCTTAGTTCATTCATCTATATATAGTTGCCATTTGAAAAATTAAAAGAAATTTCAGTATTGATCCGTTAGATCAATCCCCCGTTAACATATTGCTCTTCTGTTTTGTTTTTCTCTTTGAAGTATATTCCTTAAGGAAAACATAAGCCAATAATACATACACAAGCATTTCTTTTTTTTTTTTTTTATTCAAATTGATTCTGTTGAATGAAATTCCTTTCTACAATATTCTTTTCACTCTTCCATCTTCTTCAACACCCGGTACTGACAGTTTCTGCTCATGTTCCCCCCCCCCCTTTCTTTCGACCTTTTTCTGATTCTATTAGGTATATACATATACGTGAAAGAATGGTAATTTCCAATCTGACGGTGTCTCTTTTGTTTACATGTGTATTAGTTTAACAACGAAAGAAAAACAGGTTGATAGTGTAGTGGTGTTAATTATGGGTCTAGGCTACTGTCTTTTCTCCCACACCCACATCCCAGAGTCACATATGGCATTTATACATACACCCTGTTGTAATTGCCGATAGATTTCGTTCTCAAATTATTACTGCATGTGAAATATAGAAATAATGTACTTATCAAGGGTAACTCTAGCTCTTGTTACCTGATTCAAATTTTTTTCACCCTTAAAATAACCCTCATCATGATGAAAATAGTCATCTGTTTATATCAAATTATAGGCATGATGCAAAAGACATACGAATTAAAAGTCTGATTTTTTCATACCATACACCACATAGAAAAGCTATGTTTTCACTGCTTTTAAATTGAATTTATTTACATCTTGTCAGTGATGTTGATCGATTAGAAGATATAAATGATCTTCTCTAACATTACATTGTTGTCAGTAAATTTTGACCATTCATGAACTAACAGAAACTAGTGTTTTTTATTATTTTTCAAAATTAAAAATTCTGTTTAGAACAAACAAATGCATAAAAATTTTGAGAACTCTTTGCGATGCTATAGAAATTAACGAATAAAGTTTTGAGAAAAAATGAATTTTCTTTCAATGTATATACTTCGAATAAGTAATTCTAATGCAAAATGAAAACTAAGAGTTTTGATCGAAACTTTTCTGCGAGATTTTCATTTTTGTTTGGCCTATTACTCGACTAAATATCAATCGTTTCAAGTCCAGTATTGTTTTCTTTTTCCTTCAGTCTACCTGCAATTAAATAATTGACTAGTAAGGTTCAATAATATAAAGTAAACTTAGAAGCAAACACAAAAATGTCTCCCAAAAGATTTTGAAAAATATCTATAACAAATCTTGATTAAAATCGTATATATTTTATATTAATCGATTCTTTTTAGAAAGTGCCATCGATATGGATACTAAACAGCTCTGACATAAGTCACTGTGAATTGAAGAAAAATTAGAAATGCAACTTAAAATATGCTAGTTATGTATGTCACTGCAATAAACAACTTTAATGAACCTTAGATGATAAAATTGTGCTTTTATTGATAGTCGATTATGTTTATTTAGTTGTTGTTAACTAACAAATCCAAAATTAGATCTTCCTTAAACAGAAGGAAATCTGAACAATTTGATAGAGTCGTGAGAGTTTTTCGTAAAATAATCTCAAAGATTATAATTCTTTTCAATCATCTTTGCATCACAGTCATCTCAATAGTAACAATGAGAAAAAATTTCCTACTTCTTCTCCAGCATACAGTAACAAAGTCAACGCATTTAAATATTACCAGTAGAGACTTTTCATTGCAATTTTTCACGAATATTATAGTATCAAATTTCAAATCAATCTATAAATATATAATATAAACAATGATCATTTGCAAAATAGAAGACAGAGGTTTATTGTCGATCAATTAGATATATTCACTGTCAATAATCATATCAAAGCAAAAACAAATACTGTTGTGTTGTATGCAATTTTTGTATAAACCAGCGTTACACAGATGATTAATGATGCATGATAGCGTTTCTTGATGATAAAACTCATGCAAAATTCAAAGAGAACTAAACTTATAGTAACAAAAAAAGTGCTTCATGACGCTGAATGTTGATATTGCTTCTATATAACTGTGATTATTTGATGGGTGTGTGAGTGTGTATGGGATTTGTGTGTGCACTAAAAAACTCAACTTCTTGCGCTGACTACGAATATGATGTTTGTTGTCGTTGAGAGGAAAGCTTTTCAACCCAAACTTACAGATTTCGTGGCCAAGATTAATATTTTCTGATTTTTTCTGTAAATCTTTAGTTTTCTACAACTAAATAAAAGCTTTTGAAAAAGTCTATTCATAATGTAGCTTCTTTGATCCTGGTTCGAATGGCATATTTTATTTTATTTTATTTTATATCTTATTCAAAAAAAACTAGGTAGGCTTACAAGCTATAATAACAACATGAACAAATGATTTCTCGCATGCAGAGAAAAAAAAATTGGTTAAGTTATACTTCAGAAAGCCTTAAATTACATTTGAAAAGTTAATTTTGCGTAACGTTGAAGAAAAAAAGTACTTTTGTAGTTATTGAAATCGGATCAAAAAAAAAAGTCGGTCGTTGAGTCTTAAAATTAAACTATTTTCCTATACAATGGGATTATCTTTGTATTTTGACTTTCTTATGTAAATAAAAGACTGCAAAGCTTTTAGAAAAATATTTTCTTATCCTGTTTTATGATCTCTATCTAATCATAGAGAAATGATCAAGAAGAAAAATTTGTTCCAATATTTGAATTTCTACTACCTTGCATAGACAGCTACTTGACTTTCTCTTATCTTTTTCTTTATTCTTTTTGTTCTTCTTCACAATTGTTTTTTGTCAATATATTGGCTCGCATTTTCTTCTCTGTTATCTATCTAAGGACATTGTTTGCACGTACATGTTTGAATAAAGATGAAGATAATTCTAAATTTTCCTTTTTCTTCTTGTTATATAAATTCTCTGATTGTACTCAGCAAACTATTCATTCTTTTCATTTCGTTTGGTTCAAGAAGTATATTCTGTCTAACTGTGACGGCTTCCAGTTCTACGAATCTATTCTGTTTTGAGAATGGAATATAGCGACTACTTCCTTTTTTTGACAGCTGGGACAACTACTGAATAGAATCAACACATTACTATTATTAATATACATAGATCGTATACAAAGAACTGGTTAATACACCCAGTTCTCGAAACAAAAATCGATTTATACAACTGTAAGTAGTCACAGTTTAAATCTCAAATATTGATTTAAAAAATAGTGTGCTCTTGGTTTGTGATCGGAGAAGTACAAATATTGTTTTTTTTTTCGAAACCTATTAAGATCATCAGGTTACACATATACCAAAAGTAATACTTGAAGACCGCTTTTTTTTCATTATTTCTCTTGTGAATATAAACTAAAAGTATTGGTTTATTTATCGATGAAAAATCTATCCATTTGATTGAAGTATAGCAGAGATACTTCAGTTTTTTTTTGGAGGAAATTAACTTTTAGGTCAACTTGTACGTAAGATTATTACTATAATTTCCTTTTTATTTTTAATTGAAAAAGAATGAATATCTATCGAATACTTCAATCAATTAAGAATTTCAGCTATTTTACTAGAAAACATCCGTTGATTGTTTAAAAAAGATATTGCAAAAAATTTTCTTTTTCAAAAAGCCTTGATGGAAGCCTCTGGACAACAACTCTAACAGATTTCTATCTGATTTTTTTCAAAGGTCATTCGATAACTATTGTTTTTTTTTCTATTTAGTAATGACATTTTCTTTTTCTCTAGTCTTATTCTTATTGTATTTTTCTCAAATAGGTTTAAATCATAAGTAACATTTTAACCGGCACATTTATTTATTTTTCTCCTACCACATCACATCATGAAGTATTAAGTGTAATTGACAACTACTATCGGCATACATTTTTTTTTTGCTCTTAACGACAATTGAAAAAGACAAAGTTGAATTTCATACAATAGATGTATAAAAATTAAAATGAATCTTACTTTAGTGGTTTAGGTGATCGTAGATATACAACTGCTTTCCATCATTCCATCATATAAATATCTTTACTAAATTTGTTCTACGTACTGATACAGACAATACATTTCACTCAATACCTTAAAAATAACTGTTAGACGCTTTATGATTATAGTTTAGCTTTGGGTACAACCATAAAAATACATTATATTGTACTATGTTTCTTGTTATTCGCTCTGTTGATCATATGGGTTAAAAATGCACTTAACCAATCCTTTTATTGCCATTTAAAAAATTATGGAAAGAACTTTGTCATTTAATTTGAACTTTTAAATGATGAAAAAGATAAATTTCAACTAAATATTTTGATATTTTGATATTTTGTTTTTACAAATAAATGCATATATAAAACAGATCAATATAAGTATATTTGGAAATATTTAATTAACAGTTTCTTTTAAATAGAAATCTTTAAAAAAGAAATCATTAAAAAGATGATAAAAAAGAAAAACATTTGTTATTTGTTTCATTTTTATTCCTTTGCATGTGATATATACCAAACTAAGAAAATAATCTCCCTAATCACAAAATCAGAATTTTGATAAAACCAAATGCCTATTTATTCTCGACGGCGATAGATATATATCGCACAAAGAAAGAAAAACATGATTAATGGTAAAAAAGAAAAATCCAAGATCAAAACATATGTAGGTATTGTCCTTCATATCTCTATAATATTTCTTATCGTTTATTTATTTTGGACTCAGTTATATTGCATAAGAAAAAAATCTTCTTCGTTTATTACTTGTGTTGCATTTTGATCATGACAAATCAATACTTTTCATTAACAATAATAATTCATATCATTTTAATTATATATTCTATTGAATCAATATCATCAACGACTCAGACTCGTTTATTAATTGTTTCACTTGATGGTAAGAAGAAAATTTTTTAATATAATTTCTTATATTTATTTTTTTATTTTCCTAATAAGGATTTCGTCAACAATATTTGAGTACATATTTTTTGCCAACATTAAATCGTATACAAAATCAAGGTATTAGAACAATAAATGGAATGCAACCAACATATGTAACAATGACATATCCTAATCATATATCAATTGCAACAGGTAGAATAAATTAAAAATATTTATTTTTATATCTAAGTTCGAAAAATTTAGGAATGTATCAAGAAGATCATGGAATTATTCATAATCGATTTTTTGATACAAAACTTGGAAAAATAGTTACATTTGGTAAATAAAAATGAACAAATATATATAAATATTTTAATTGATTATTAATCATTTTTTCTTTCTAATAGATACTCGAGATGAAGGACAATGGTCCGATCCTAAAGTTGAGCCTATATGGATTACAGCAACAAAACAAGTAAAATATTTTTTCTTATGATTTTCAAATTAATTGATTCATATAAATGTAGAATAAAAGATCTGCTGTACTTTATTGGCCAGCATCTCACAATGAATTTCATGGTGTTCGACCATTAATATATAATTCGTTATATTCGGATTCTATTCCGATGCGTGAAAAGATAGATAATGCTATTTCTTATTTTCGTGAAAATATTATTCAATTAGCTATGCTTTATCATTAGTAAGTTCATAATGATAAAAAAAAATACATTTTGTAGAAAATAATTTCTTTTATTATAAATAAGTGAACCTGATAAACAAGGTCATGTGTATGGTCCTGATTCCAACGAAACTCGTGAAGCAGTTAATATTGTTTTCTTATAAATTTATTTATGATTTGATTTTTTTAAATATTTTATATAGCTTTTTCGTCTTGATACTGATATTGAATATTTATTAAACAAAGTCAAAACGGAACTTAATGATGATTTAAATATTATTATTCTATCTGATCATGTAACAAACAAGAAAAATATTGCAATAAATAAAACTAATATTTATGTTCTAGGGAATGACTAATATTGTACGATTAGTTCAACCATTTCGTGATGGTTATATCAATAAATCTGCAGTTGAAGACCATATTCTTGATGGTCCAATATTTAGTCTTTCTCCTCGTTCAGGAGAAGTAAGTTTGTCTAATTAAGTAGAATTGTTTTGTTGAACTAAACAGTGAAATATGAATTTCATATCTTCAAGTCAAAAGAAAATTTCTATGAAATAAAATTTTCAATCAAAAGAAAAGATTAGAGGATGTGCGAGACGACGAAAAGTTTTCGAGATCTAGACTAAAAAAAGTTTGATTTCGTATATCTCTAGAAACAACACATTTAACAATAAGTTTTCAAACTCTACATATTTCAAGAAAAAAAAAATCTTTTCTGTGGAAATCGAGAGAGGTACATTGAATAGTAGAATTTTACATTATTAAAAAAAAATAGTTTGAACAAGTATTCAATGGTTTACGTCGTATTCCTGGTGTTACAGTTTACAAACGTGATGAATTTCCTGAAAAATATCATTATTCAAAAGCAATCTATCGAATCGGTGAAATAATTGTTACACCTAATAATGAAGGCGTCTATTTTTCACAAGTAAAATTACGTTTTTTCTTTATCGTAATCAATGATCTAATAATGAATTTTTACTAAATTAGGCAACAACGGAAATATCTTCTCCAAAAGGTAATCATGGATATGATAATACACTTCCATCAATGCAAGCTATATTTATGGCACAAGGTCCAGATTTTAATCAAAATAAGGAAATACATTCACTGAAAAATGTTGATGTTTATCATATAGCTTGTAAAATTTTGGATCTTAAACCAAATCCTTATGCAACAGCTGGATCATTGAATAATTTAACCGATATTTTTCATTCGAGAATAAATAAATGTTCTCAATCATGCATAGGCATGTCAATATTATTATTAGCATTTTTTATTTATATTGTATCATAGAAATTTGCACGAAATTATTTTAGAATATTTTACAATTCTTTTACTTCTTTTTATAAATAAATAAACTTATGTCCTATATACTTAGTATATGTTTCAAAATAAAATACCATATTTTACATCTGTAAAAGTAATGAATTCGAAGTAAATATATAAGAAGAGAAAGAAGAAATGTTTATCTTTACTATTGATATATTTATTGCTAGTTTTCGTAAAATTTCATTTATAAAGTTGTTATTTTATTGTCTAAATAAATTCAAAAATAAATGTAAGAACTTGTATATTTTATAAAAGTTTTTATTTGCGTCGACACAATTATTAACTAAAATCTTAGAATTATGTATAATTGATTTTTTTTTTGTCGATCTTATTGTAATATAAAGAATTTAAATTGATAAATGAGATACACTCTTCTGAGACAGACGTGACTATTCAGCTTTAATACAAGAGAAATACTAGTTCACTAGATATGTTGACAGATGCTTTTGACTATATTTTTTACTAGTTAAAAATAATTTCATTAGTCTTGGACAAGAAATTTTTGTTAACTAACAAAGTAATCTCGTCAAGTAACAACTTGCTTTCAAAATGAGTTTTATTCAATAAGTGTCTTCTTAAGACTAGTGAAAGTCTAAATGAATTCGTACCTATGAGTTTTCTCGAATTACGATCAATTTCATGAGCTTTGCAATATAATACTGTGGTTTCCATTATGTATGCACGAGTCCTTGCTTAGTCTCAACAAAACTTACCAAGTGGGGTAAAACCCATTTCAATGGCGATTGACCATTTTGCACGATTTTCTCGTACCAATAAAGAGTCTATTGACATGTAGAGAAATAAAAAAGGAAACGCATCTGCCAGAACGTTTTAGTTTTTTTTCTTATCATTGTTGTATGTTGATTTAAGCTGAGAACATAAGATACCAACTTATGCATTAATCGAAGATTAATAGCAATGCCTTCATTAAATCTCAAATGTGATCTATAAAGCTTACTTCAGTGTAGAGCTCATGTTCTTTGTATCTTACGCTTTCACAAATTGTATAGATCTTTTTGCTCAAGAGGTCTATTAGGCCAACTATCGCTTGTATATTATTTTAAAAAGTGAGTTTCTATTGATTTATTTTAGCATAAATAATTGTAAAGGGAAGCAAATACATGTGCAGCTATATTCATGACTATTTCTCTTTCTCATACTCATTAGGGCTTTCTAGTTTTATTCAGTATTTGAAGCTACCAATGTTTTGCATCTTTTTAACCAGCACATGAATAGAGTTCGACTGAACTTAGAAGGTAGTGTACTCCTTTTCTTAATATCTGTGTCTTCCTTCAACTTACTGATACCTATAACAAAGTTAATTGTGCAACGTTGAAAACTACTACCCTTCATCAATCAATAAGAAGAAACATTTCTTTTTATAAAACTCAAGTTCTAAGATGTATTGTAGCTCTACTTTGAAACTTCTGAGTTTCTCTGAATCGACGGATTTAGTATGTAGACACATGAAAACTTAAGTAGAATATTATACAAGATGTAGATATATTTTTCTCATAAGAATGAAAGAATTTGTCGTTTTTCTTTTCTTCTATGAACTGAATCGAATCGAGATTTACTTATTCGTTTCGATCTCTGATCTATATCTACTTGTGCAATTATGGGTAGATATTTTCAGTAAACGATATACTCATAGTGTTAAACTTCATCTTTTGTTTTCTTGTGTCAGACAAGCTAATCTACACTTAATAAATGTTCAATTCTAAAAGAAACACGTACATTTATGAAGTTGACTAGTGTGAACAAAGCATCAATTATTCACCGGTATATTCACACTTTATACTATATAGGCAAAACATCAGAGAAAATCATTATATAGTACATAGAAAAGCATGAACGTAAACTATGATACATTTGAATACACATTATTTGTCTTCAATTATCAAAAAAGAGCACATCTGATCATACATTGAGAGGATCAAAGCTAATTTCTATATACAAGCTATCATCGATCTCCATCATGAGTACGCGTGTCACCATGCTTCAGGCATAAATAGCGCGCAACATTCGTCTGTCGCGTGTTGCCGATATATATATATACTGCTCATCCAACAGTGTCGCCGACACACCTTGTATAATAAATGTCCGAGCAATGAATATCCATGTATATGATTTGTTCTTTTGATGTTTGTCGTCCGAAATATTCTATCGATCACGTAATCGATCAACGAACAAGAAAATTGATAGGCGGTCTGATATCGAAATACTATTTTCGATTTAATCCTACAGCAAAAGGGCGTATAATAATGATGTTCTAATCGAATCAAATAATTCACAGTTAAATTTTCTTTTTCTCTCTCTGTCCCTAGTTCTTTATGATTTCGAGTGTATATGTGAAAAAAAGACATACACCATCTGTCTAGTTTTTCATTTAAATAAAATATTGATAAAAAAAAAAAAAAGGAGAAGAAAATTTGATCGAAACGACAAAATAAAATCTGATGACTTTTCTTGATTAAATAACACCTTGCATGCTCCTATTTCATGCTTGACGATCATCATATGATGTAATGTGAATAATAAGATGGAACAATACGAACTTTCTATTGACATTTCTAATCACGGAGATATGAATCACACATTCATAAATATCTATTTATTAAAATATACACAATACATAATCATGCATATGCGTCATATCATACATATCTCATCAGAAAATTATAGACAATGATCAGAATGTGTTTGTTGCTTAAAGGAAAAACAAAACAAACCGATGAGATATGTCACATTTTTTTTTCTGGGTGGTATGAAACTCATGTTGAAAATAACATTATTTTCTAATCTGAGATTGTCAAGATTTGGGCAGGTGTCAATGTCTCAAGATGCCTTTTGGAAAATTTTTTCCTAAAGTTGAGCAGATTTGAAAGAATACTTTCTGCAAAGAAAACAAGTTTGAAGAAATATTTGACAACTACCATTTGCTTCTTGTACTCTTGACATAAGAAGGATGTAACCCTTTTCTTTAGCAAAGCACGATATAACAATGTTGAATCTAGGATTTTGGTGAATGACAATGATCATGGTCACAAAATGTCTTTTCAAATCAAATTAGAGTTTATATCAGTTTATTTTTGAACAATCAGAAAAATAGTTTGAGTAAGAAGTGTCTACGTCCAATCTGAATCCACTTTTGTACTCTCATTAATCATTATTTTTTTTCTCAAAAAAAAAAAAAATCCATTACTTAATTTATGTTTTCATTTGTTCTTCTTTATCGAACAAAATTATATTTATCATGAAAAACAAATATCCTGTTTGGTCTAATTTCTTATCTATTCATAACAAAATCAACTTTTTTTTTTTTTTTATCAAATCAATAATTTATTTTTTTTTTCTTTATTATGGCCACTAAGTATTTTAAAAATATAGAGAACCAATTATACAGATCTAACTACAATAAATTATATTCATATACAATAAAAAACAAAGAAAGGAAAAAAAATCAAATCAAATCAATAGTTTGTTGGATAATAAAAATTATGATGATGTTGTGTTACAATTGGTGGTGGCAGTGGTGGTGGTGGTGGATAAAATTGTTGAGTATTTAACATAAAATGTTGTTCATCAGTATAAAATTCATTTGTAAATGTTTGTGAAGCTCCTGGTAAAATCATATGTCCATTAGGACTAATTTCTTCCATACTGCTATTTGTTGCATCATTACAAAATGATGATGTTTGATCATAACTACTTGAACTACATAACATAGCATCATCTTCACTTTCACTTGTTGAATGATTTTGATTTATTGTTGTTGGTTTTGATTGATGATTTCCTTTTTTAAGATTAATAAATTCTAATGGATTTCGTACTCTCGGATGCATTGATGATAACATATAAGTTTCATCCATTGTAACCATATTTGATGGATAAGAATCTCCATATTGTTGTTGTTGTTGCTGTTGTAATATACGAGGATTTAAACAAAGTGTTGCTGCAACAAGATTCATTGTATTTGGTGATAAACCTTTACATAATAATTGAGCAAAATGTGTATTATCAGGTATTTGATCATTTTGAACCATTTCACTTAATGCTTCAATATAATTTTTAGCTAAACGTAATGTTTCAATTTTTGATAATTTTTGTGATAATGAAAAACATGGAATTGTTTCACGTAACACTTCTAATTGTTCATTAAGACCTTTCATACGTTCACGTTCACGACCATTTGCTTTAATACGTCGAACTTTAAAACGTGCAACACGTGCTGGTGTCATTTGTTTCTTTTTTGGACCACGTTTTTTAGGTATTTTAATATCATTCATTGATGTTAATTTTTTATTTGTTGTTATTGTTGTTATCGTTGGTGTTAAATGATTATGATTATGATTATGATGATGATGATGATGATTATTTTCTTTCATACTTTCCAAATTTTCATGATATTTTATTTCAAGTTCAAGTTCTTTTAATTGTCGTTGTTCTTCTTCACGAGGAATTTTTGTAGGCATTATGTTTTTTTTGTTATAAAGAAATTAACTTACTGAACAGTTCACGTCGATTCGAATGAAAAGAATTAAAAAAAAAAGGAAGAAGGAAATGTCTCTTCCCTTCTCTTCTCTCTCTCTCACTTGCTGGTTTCCTTCCTCTGATAAAAGAGAGTATATTCAATTTATAACCAATGAAAATTAATGATAATAAAAAAATAAAAAAAAAGCCAATGATTGGTTCTATTAACACGTGTGATATATGAGCTAATCATTGGATTAATTGAGATCTACAACATGGTTTTTGGTTAAAACAGTGTCATATATTCGTCGCGTGTTGATTGATTTAATAGCATGTGCGTGTTCTTCGAACCGTAAAAAGAAAGGCACAAACATACAATGAGATGATACTTTTTTTCTTTTTTTATCCGATCGTTTTGGATCTATTTGAATAGCTAAATTGTATAGAGCGCGCATGCGCATGCTTTCATCATGAATAAAGAAAAGATAAATGCTAATTTTCGAAGGCCAACTGTTCTCGAAAAATAAAAAAAAAAAGAAACTTAATTTAATTAGGCCTAGTATTAGCCTTCTTCTCAAGGTCAAATTAGTTGACCGATCGTCTTTTCTTTTTTTGCTCTTTATGAAATTGATAAATATCAATTCTTTTGACGGGCCTCTTGAAAAACATCTAAGACATATGAACGTGATCGTCTTGAATATAAAAAGAACATCTTATCTTTGTCAAAGAAGGTGTTTAAATATATCCGGCATCTCAATGATTGACTGACAATATCATTGTCAACAAGCATAGACAAATATGTTATTAGATCATATTCTTATACGTAAGATATTTCATTTCCTGTTTATTATAAAAAATAAATCTGTTGTAAACGTACATGGATGAATAAGCTTATATATTAACAACTATTTTTACGTAAAATAAATATATTCATAGAAATAATAACGCCTGCAATAAAATTAAATATTTCATTCGCAAGAGAATTCAAATACATTGACAACTTATCATGAGTAAAACAATTTTCTAACGCACATTCGTCACTTCGATTTTTCTAATTGTTCACTAATACACAAGAGATTTCATTTTATCAGTTTCAATATATATATATATGTGTGTGTGTGTGTGTGTCGAAGGTGGCAAACAGTCATCTCGATAATCATGTGTCGTGTCGTTATCAGTCAAGTTAATCAATGTCATGTAGTAGCTACAGCAGTAAATTTAACATTAGCAGACATATGGCGTAGTATTTACGATAGTTTTACAGCTCTTAACTCAAGAGGTACAAAAAAAAGCCTAAAAGTAAGAACGATGTAATAAGACAAAAAAAAAAAAGAATTTTTTTTTATGACCAACTGCTGATTTTTTTTTTCAATCGGCTCGTGCCATCCCTTATCGACTAGTTCCTTTTAACACTGTGAGTGGTCATTATTCGGCTGCATCCTTTTATCAATCAAATGAGAATTGAACGTTTGATTTTCTCTGTGTGTGTGTGTGTGTATGGATGTATTACAATAGTAGTGTCATCTCTTTTGTTTCTTTGAAGGGCATATGTCATGAAAAGCGTGTCCATCTGTAGTAAAATTTCATTCGTACATTCAGTTTTTTTGCCTTTTGTTTGATATGCTTGTGAATATTTGTAAGTAGAAGACAAGTAAAAGAAAAATATATCTTATAACAGTTAAAACCTGCTGAGCGGATCAAACAAACGCTTTTCTCAACTAACTAGTGCTTATCGATGATGTAAGATTTCCAAGGACACCATTCTGTTCTGTTATTCTTTTTCGATCATTCATATGCCGACATGAAGAGATGCAAACGGAGTGATTCGCTAATTTGTCACATTTTCAAATCAGTAATGATCACATCATATAAAATGCAATTGACTGTAAATTAAAAAGATGTTCTTTGAATTTTAAAGAAAGAATAGACTGAATTTCTTTCTTTCTTTTTTCTTTTTTATTTTAAATGACGTAAAAATGAAAATCGATATGAATGAAATATAATTTTACGTTTGTTTGTACAACGAGACATACAAAAGGCGTGACAACTTAAATAATATCTATTGATTAAACTAATGCTGTTCTCATCATGAACAAATTACATATTACTTCCTTTTTCTTCTTCTTTTGTACCATTCATTGAACTGTATCAAATGTTGACCATAGGTCTCATATATATATATATATGCAAACACTTGTTTGTCTGTTCAACCTTATCTCGTTTTTCACTAAGTTCCCAGTGGGCATACTGGTGACTGATTGATAAACATAGACTATTTATAAAGAATGGACAATTGAATCGCGAGGACACATTCGAACCACACAACAGGACGTTAATGGCATGGCATTGACAACACAAGGGACTAGTAGTTCTATAGAATAAGAAGGAGGAGAAATAGGGGGAGGTGTTGTTTTCCTCATACTCATTCTCCTCCTTCTCTTCTTCTTCTTTCGAATCGAATAGAAAAAACTGTACAATATACTTGTCACATAGTCTAATCAATTTTTCTTTTCATTTTGTTTTGTCCTATCTGAAATTCTAGTCGATGAAGATAGACTGAACTCGAGGCGAATAAACGGACATATACTAATTGCATTCAATGAAAGAGACACTTGCCTATAGAGCTTGTCTAATACGAACAGGCGTACTTTAAATTTAATAGAATTAGTCAAGAAAAAAAACAATATGATCGATTTTAATCTTTATATTCGAATATAGACACTTGCTAGGAATAATTATCGAAGGTTAAGATACTTGTCAAGGATATAGAAAACATATAGATGATAGGTTTTATTATTTTAAAACTTGAGCATTGACATGCAACGAATGTTGTTTTTATGCTTACTGCAAGGACTTTGAACTTTCAGATATATATGGCGATGGGGCTTTCTTATATTTACAGTACTAATCATATACGTCGGTTCTTTAATATGTATTCTCATTGACTAACATAAAAGCATCCTAATAGTTATGAAACCAAGCATTTCTAATAAAAATTCAATTTTAAATTAGTTCTTTGTTCTATCAGCTACATCGAAATCCTTGCTAAACAATCTTATCTAATGATAAAATCGACTCCCGATATATTCGTCTAGTGCTGAAAATTATTTTTTTTGTTTTATGAATTTTTTTTTCTAGTAAAAATTTTTCCAATAAAAATACTCATAATAGTAATAATAATTAGAAGAAATACTAGCTGACAATATCGAATGAGTTTTTTTGATTGAATTAAATTTTGATAAAATTGTAAAGCATTTGATCGTATATCATGTGCATAAGATTTAATAGTATGTCCATCATTAATAATTTCATCGATTTTTTCATTTGTTTCTTTTAAAATAATACCTGCATTAATTGCTTCAATACGAATATCATCATATTTTTTATCCAGTAAAATTGATGAATCTAGAACCGGAGAATTTCCGGTTTTGATATTCAATCTATCCACTATCAATAAATTCGATAATAGAGAGGAAAAAATAAAAAGAAAAAAAGAAAAAAAAATAACCTTGGCAACTTAATTATTGAATAAATATTTAGTGGAATATTTGGTTGAATAAACTTTTGAAAATGAGGATTGGTAGCATCTTTCAAAAGTTGATTGGGAAACATAATACTGATCTTTTGACTGTAAACGAGACAATATCAATAAGAAATTTTTCTTTCGATAAACCTGCTCCCTACATCAGAGCCTGATAGTATGCAGAGACAACATACAAATGTAACTGCTAATTTGCTATAGGATTCACTAACGATTAGAAAACCCATGTTTGACAAAACTAGCCTTGTTGTATAACATTTATGCATTATTGTTTCGATCTCATTATACAAACGACCTTTGAAACAATGTTAACCTTGAACTTTTATCGAACGTAAATTTAGTACAATGTTATTCTTTTTTAAGTATTGTAGCGCACCGTAGGATAATAAAAAATATATAGTTTTTTTGTTTTGTCTAATCAATTCTTTAAGTATGGATTAAATTACCTTATGAATATATTAGATTCAATTTTGAGTTTGAGTATATTATTAAAACAGTTATGTATAACGAAAATACTTTCACAGATATATTGTTTTTTGTTTTGATTAGAAAAAACCTTGATATTGCTGTTGACTTATCAATATATATAGAAAAAAATTAATTAGTTTCATTGATAATATTATATATTCTCAAAGTTTCTTTTTCAATGTTTGTCATTGAAAAAAAAAGACATTTTATCTATATAGATTCGTATTTCATGTTTGTTTTTTAATATTCAATTTTATATTTATATCTCAAATTACTTTCAATTTTATGAAGAATTTACTAATTAAACTTTATTACAAAGAGAAAAATATATGAATTTCGCTGTTTTTTGTTTGTATTTATATGAAAGAATAAATAAGTAACATACACAAAGATAGCGAGGTGACAAGAGGCACACAATAAACTACTATACATATAGCATAAAATTTAGAAAAAAAAAGAAGAAAAAAAGTTAATAGGATATATTGTATTTATCATTGGATGTATATTGCGTTAACAAATTGTGTTTTATTTTTATAGTTTGTTTATGAAGATCGACCAAATTTAAATACAAATGCACTGTAAAGAATTAAGGATAAAAATGTAAAGAATAAAGATATAATCTCCAGTCCAGTTGACCAATCGACTCGTACTTTAAATAGTTCTCGAGCATGATTTCGAAGTGTTCCCACATCGAATGCTTAAAATAAATAAATGAAATTTAATGTTTATAAATAGTAAAGGAAAGCTTTTTGTGGGATTCTTTTCTTTCATTAAAAAAAATTTTATTGATTTTTCATGTATAAATATAGAATTACTGATAATCTCATAACAAAAATTACAATTTTATTGATCTATTATGATTTTGTCATAGTCAAAAGCATGTTTTTTATTTGGTGGTTTAGGCTTTTTTTTTCTTAGACTTTAGAACATACGTACCTTCACCTGGCACATACACGATATGCATCATATCTCGTGATAGATAGCTTCCGACAAGTATAAGTGCAATAAGAATGAATATGAATGCTAATAAAAGTAAAATTAACGGTAATAGGCTAAGAAACATGCCTAATGAATGAGTTTCGGATGTATTAATAGAATGAATGAATAGAATTATTATAGTAAGACCAAGAAATACAGAAGCTATGATGGCACATGCTGCAATACCTTTTGTCGATGGTAAATAATCACATGAACAATATGAATTTGATTCTCTTGGCATACAATACGTTCGATAATCGCAACTATTATTTTTAGGAAACATATTTGGAAAACATGTTTCCTGTTTATAAAGATTCGAAGTTATGCATCGTGTGAATAAGCCGATACTTGTGTAATTAAAATTATATGAGTTTCCAATAGTGGAATTTCTTGCATCGGCTTTTTTCCAATGATGATGACCCATTGCAGTAATATGGAAAATGAATGCAATTACGGCAAAAATAAACACACTGAAATAGAATATTTTTGCCTTTTCAACCATTATAATAGTTTAAATATTAGTAGATCTATGTAAAATACAAAAAGAAAAAGAAATAAAACATTGGCAACTACTTGCTTTTTATGATCGAACATAAGGTGTTAAATTTCTCTTAGAAAGAAAAAAGAAAAAAAGGAAAAAACTTGACTTTGCGTACAACTCGAACCATTTGACACCTATACCAATGAGAAGAAAATGAGTTTAGTTCATCATCGAACGAGAGTTATATATTTTGTTTCATCTCTTCTTAATCATGAGATTCGTTTTCTCTTTCTTCGTTGTTCTTTAGTCTTGTCGAAAAAAAAAAAAAAGAAAACGAAGCAAAAATTCAGAGGCAATACAAGGACAAGTCATGTTCGTTCGTCTACAGAGCAGATTACAGACAATTGAATGTGTGAGTTATGTAGAAGCAACGTTGGTACAGTGTATCAAATGTGAGGGTTTTTCTTTTTTTTTACCTTCTTCGTGTTTTTTTTTCTTTGACTATATACACATTCTCTCGAATTTTTTTTCTTGCCCTGAATGATTATCTCGCATTGATGTTGCTCTGGTGGGAGTCTCATTCAAATAGAAAGGGTATGAATATATACTTATGTAAAATCGTGAAGAAAAAAAACACGTATTACAAATTTGAATATTGGCTCTACTCCTTTTTTTTATTCATTTTTATCATGTTTTTTTATTATGTTATAAGTGCAACTTTTCGAATGCTCTTAACATTGTAATTCATAAGCAATAAAAAACAACTAGGAGGATTTTGTAATACGTCTTTTCCATCTTGGTTAATTTACTTTGACAATCATTATGTTCCTATTTGAATATATTTATTCAAAAGTATATATTTATGCATTCGAAATACAAATCATATATATCAGGCAAAAAAGCTATTTGACATGATGGAACCTTCGGACAAAAAGAAACAGCCATACCAAATATTTATATTATTCACACGAAAAAAATCTAAAAAATGTTTTTTATTAAACAAAAATATTTTTTATAATATTTCTTTTTTTATATTATATCTTATTAGATTATAAGGTATCAGTATTGCATTATTTATTTTGTTGAACTCGAGAGTTAATCTGTTATGGTTAGATCCATATTGAATAAAAGAGATGAGTTTAGATTTCCTCTCTGAATTTATAAATATTTAATTATAATAAGTATGAAAATTTCAATGAAACTCCTGATAACAAAACATAGATCACGTGTTACAAAAAAATTCCGAATGAGTATCCTATTTTTAACAATATATGAATATAAGAGAATCATGAAAACAAAAAATGTTTTATAATGATGTCAAACTGTGAAAATATCCGTTCTTTGCTTCTGTTCACGTCTCTTATTATTATTATGAAATAACAACATTATATAGAATCAAAACACGTTAATGAATAATTCACAACTGTTCATTTTTATATTTTGATCATAATGATTATTTAATTGAGCGAATGGAACAACTTTTGATTACATATGTATACATATTATTGAATACGTGATATTATAATACTTGAGTATTGATATTTTGAAATCATTCTTATGCAAATACAATGAATAGTCGAATGATCAATAAAAGGAAAAAATCATTTCATTCAATTTCCTGTTTACAAAATATGTTTTTTCGCAGATATTTAATACGAAATGCATGTTTGGAAGCAGTGCATGATTATACAGCTTAGTAATACAAATACAGGATAAAGATAATCAATTTTTTATGTTATTTATTACTACAATACTATATAACCATTGAAAATGCAAAAAAAATAAAAAGAGAAAATACTTTACATGCAATAAAAAGACTATGCCTACCTCGAATCATAATCTCATAATTATTTTTTTCTTGCATTTTTCCCTCTCTGTTGTTACATTGGTAGTCGTCATTTCTTTACTGTGTTCTATTCGTCTTTGATCATTTCCATAGAATAAAGTACACTACGAGCACGAGAAAATCTCAATGTATTTATTTGTTCATAGTCGAATTTTCAAGGCTCGTTAAACTAATGAGACTTATATCTTTTTTGTTAGTTATTATTTATAATTTGTGAAAGATTGTCGTCGATATTTATCGATGTTGTTTATGCTTGAACGCCGAGTGCAAAAAAAGAAAACTGCATTGCAACGACTCTATATATCCGCTTTTTTGCGTAAGTAAGAAAGGATGAGCTAGGACGCTAATTGATATGATGAAAACACTAGTATATTATTGAGCATTTAACCCTAAGGAGGTCATCATCAACGAACTGACGAATATGATTAAGATTATGTTAATGGAATTTTAAAAAGCTTAATAAAAATCCTTTTGTTTAAGCTATTTCTTTACTTTTTCCGTCTATTATTTTTTATGAAGATATATTTTAAGAATTCTTATTATTAAAAAAAATTTTACTATGAAACATACTATCAGTAATAAATAACAATGACATCAGACTGAAAATGTTTCAATGAAAATAAAAAAAATAAAAATGTTATTCTGTGTTTTTTTTGCTTCTTTTTATCAATCTTGTTCTAATCTCTGAACCCGTCATATCTGTCTTTTGATTTCTAAATTGATTGAGCACAAAAAGAGAATGGCTTTTACTGCTTGCCATCACGTCCATATTCATGCTTTCAGTCATGATAAATGTTTTAATATATATCTATATGTTTATGAATGACACATGACTAACTTTGTTGTGAGATTACATGCTGGAACACCAGTAAGATTAAAAATAAGATGAGACACAAGCGACAAGCAAGGATCCATTGCTTTTAGATATATTAAATACTTGACATTATACTTTGACTTTGTCTCACAGTAGCTAGTACAAAAAACCATGTGAATGTATGTCAATGGTATACGCATATAAAATAGATAATAAAATGTCGATACGATATTTGTTTTCTTCTTCAGATATACAAAAGAACATGCATCTATGCATGTAATCATTTACGAAACAATTGATAATGCCTGACGATTTTATTATTCATCTTGCTGAACTATTATTGAAAATATATTTCTGAACTATTGCTCGTTTTTTTTCTTTTGTTCTTTCTCTTTCTCTTGTTTTCTTTCTTTCCCTTGTGTATGCAAAGTTTTTTTTTTATTGATGCATTTTCATCATCATCGTGGAAGAGAACCTCATAATGATGGATCAGAATCGTTAAACAGGGATCGTGATGTGGGTCTCTCATTTTTATATCATTCAAGTCGACATGGTTCACGTTTAAGTTATCCAACTATTCCAACATATTATTCATTAGCATATTTACCAATGCCATATCTGGCGAAAAATAATGCACGTTCAATTCATTCAAATTTTCAAATATTACTATATAATTTTCTTGAAAGACCAGCTGGACTTAAATGTTTTTTTTATCATTTTTTTGTGTATGTTAAAAGATCGATTAAAAAAAACAAAATGTTATTTCTTTTCTTTCAAATTTAGATTTATGGTGGTGCTTGTTTGTCTTGTTTTATCGGTATTATCAACAATTGAAAGATTTTCCGCATCGCTATCAATACATGTTTATTGGATTGAAATATTTCTTGTTCTATTTTTTGGTGTTGAATATGTTTTAAGACTTTGGTCAGCTGGATGTCGAAGCAAATATATGGGTATATTAGGTCGATTCCGTTTTGCACGAAAACCTATTGCTGTTATAGGTAAGAATAAATGTATATGTTACAATGATAATTAAATGAGATAGTTTTCCTTTTTTATCTTTATATTGTTGTAAAGATTTATTGGTTATTGTCGCATCAACTTTAATGATTACATTAGCTACCGATCGACAAACATTTGCTGCATCCGCTATTCGTGGTGTTCGTTTTTTACAAATTTTACGTGTTTTACATGTTGATAGACATGGTGGTACATGGCGATTATTAGGAAGTGTAGTTTATATTCATCGACAAGTAAGAAAAATAAAAGATAAATTTCAATGATTTTTTTAAAGAATTATGTTTGTTTTTTCAATGAAAGGAATTAATAACAACATTATATATTGGATTTCTTGCATTAATTTCTTGTAGTTATCTAGTTTATATTGCTGAAAAAGATGAAAAAGGTGAAAATTTACGAGGTGCTAAAGGTAATGATAGTCATTTCGAATCATATGCTGATGCATTATGGTAAGTTTACAAAGAAAATATATTTCAAAAAATAAAACAAAAATTTTTATTTAGGTGGGGCGTTATTACTATAACTACCATTGGGTTAGTAGAATAAATAATTCTTTTCTAATTTTTATATTCTTGTCTACGATTAGATATGGTGATGTTTATCCGATAACCTGGTAAATAATAGAATTTTTTTGTTTAATATAAAACTTTAAAAAACAAAAATATTTTTTTCCCTTAAGGCTTGGAAAAATTATTGCTGCTTGTTTTGCTATATTTGCAATATCATTTTTTGCTTTACCAGCTGTAAATATTTCAATATGAAAAAATAAATAATTTGTTACCTAGGTTATTGTTTATTTTTAGGGTATACTTGGTTCTGGTTTTGCTCTTAAAGTTCAACAAAAACAACGACAAAAACATTTTTCTCGACAAATTCCAGCAGCTGCAACATTAATTCAAGCAGCATGGCGTGTTTATGCAAGTGCACCTGGTTCATCATGTATTGCAACATGGAATATATATTTACGTGCTACTGGTCCAAATGTATCATCATCAACAAATAAAACATTTTCAACAAATAATCAAACATTCAGCGGTATGATCAAAAGAAAAAACAGAAGAAAAAGCATCTCCATATAATGAAAATTCTTCTTTTTTTTTTTCATAGAAAGAACAGCAGAAA